GAAGGTGTTTCTGCGATGTACTCTGCAAGTTCCAAATGACTATCGAGCCAATCCTTATTGTATTTCTCAAAGCGCTCTTGTAGGCGGTGAGCCTTTTGCCACGCATTGTAAAAATGTTGTGCTACGTACTTCAACTTTTTAAGAAGTTGTTCTTCTTTGGCAAGATCAATATTATATTTTTCTTGATATATTCAAATGCTTTTGTTGCATTGACTACTTGAGATTCTTTTGGATCAAAAAGTAACACGATGCTCCTATGATCCATATTATCACAAACAATTGTTTTCAGATTTTCGATTAAACTACTGCACAATATTGTTGTTAGCACACACACGTTGTTAGCGTTAAAGCCGAAAACAAACTCATGATTTGAAAATATTGTCCTCGTCTTTTAAATGCAAGTAGGTAACATCAATAATAGTTTTACCTAAGTTTAGTGGGTAGAAATTGTAAAATGGCACTCGAACAGGTAATTTCCTTTTGGTAGTGGTCTTTCTTTTTCCGTTGGTTATTATGTATTGAAAATATCAAAAGGTTATCGTGAAAACATTGAAAACTTTTTAGTCCAGTTGGGTAGATACGGTTTCTATATGTAATGATAATTTTCGGTCTGTTTTTACCCATTTTTAACAACAATAATAATTAAGTGTGTAACATTTTTAAGACCAAATTTGACATTTAACAGTTCCACTTTTCAACCAGTGTTTAATTTGTACGATTTTTTTGGTTAATGCTCGTATAATCGATATATGTAATTAACAAAAAAAAAAAAAAAAACATTTAAAAAATCATTTTTACGACTTTGTGCCAAAATGACGCTCATATGCAGCTATATGCAGCTGGATCCTTGTTCCGCAGATAGTATAGACCCTAAACTAAAACGTAGTGGTGGTCTCTTGAGACTGCTCGGCCCTGCTCGTTAGATATAGTCCAACTTAGGCAAAAAAATATTTTTTTTTTCAATAATTGCCCTTTTTAACCAGTTTTAATTAACCGTGTAACCTTATCATAACACCCATTTTAAAGTTTAGACAATTAGCTTTCCAACGGTGTATTAAATTCAATGTTTAGACCGTTATTCGCTGAGAAAATTGCATTTGTTTTAAATGCATTTTTTCTACAATTTTCAAAATTTTCCTAAGTCTGATGTCTGTGGCGCAATGAGTTTTCATCACAGAGGGCTGAAATTTTGGGCATCTAGGTTTGAACTATTTGGCTATCAAATGGTTTACAAGATACGTCATTCAAAGCAAGTCAATTTTTCGATTTTTGGCCACCACTTTCCCCATAGTGGGCTGGAGGCGTCGATGGAAAAAAGCTTGCAAAACAGCATAAATTTCACCAGAGTGAAAACTTTCCCGGGAATTCTCTCTCTTTCGTTCGACTTTGGTTCACCTTTCCATTTCGGGCTGGTGGTAAACCTCAGAATGAGATGAAACTCGAAACGTCCTCCCCACTACTCCTCAGAAGAGGTAGGTGGATGGAAGAATGCAATATTTTATTGTTTGCGGTAGGGTAGGATGGTGCAAAACGCACCGCTTAAGCAAAATCGTCGATTGCCGGCGTATGGAAGGTAAAATCAATAATAAAGTAATGGTGTATGGTTCATTACCATGTTTTCTACGCAGATCAAGTGATTTAGAACTAGAAAACGACGATTTTTCATGATTTTATAAATAGGTTCCAAAATAATAGCTTACCAAAACGCCTAATTCATAGTGCAATATGCACCACAACATTGGGGCAAGACGCACGACAACAATGAGGTAAAATGCACCCTATGACAGACAAAACAATAAGCCCTGCAAGCAGATAATGCAAAGGGATGAGGTATTTCAAATGATTATTCTTTTATGTTACATCAGAAATAAGATCTCGATAGAGTGTTAAACTGTGATTCATGAAGTAAAACATCTAAAAAATATACGAAAAGGGAATTGGTTAATTTTTTTGCGATATATGCTTAATTTACAGTCGATGATTTTTACAACTGTATCATGTATTGCACAAAATGCAATTTTTTAAAGGAATCAGTAGGTCAGTATATGATTTTAAGTTCAAGAATTACTAGGTGGGATGAAAAGTAACCTTTTTGGGAATGCAAAAAAAAAAAAAAAAACAGATATAGTCCCCTTTTAGCTCGGTACACTAATTCTAGCGATTTTCCAACTTCATGGTCCCGGCCGAAAAGTAATTTTCCGGAAGGTCTGCACAATACTCCTCCGCGACGTCGGTGATTTCCTCACGTGAGCTGATTTTTTATTGATGAGCCATCTTTTGAGGTTTGCGAAGAGATAATAGTCTGAGGGAGCGGTCGTTGTGGGAAAATTGGAGCCGTAATTCATTGCTTTTAGCGGTGGTTGCTATGCTCTTGTGAGGCGGCGCATTATCCTGCAAAAATATTTTTTTCACTTCATGTGAGGCCATTTTGCAGCGATTTCGGCCTTCAATCGCATAGTAATACTAGCTGTTGATCGTTTTTCCTTTTTCGAGGTTGTCCACGAAGAGTATGCCATGACTATCCCAGAAAACCGACGCCATAACCTTTCCCATCGAACCCATCGAACCTCCCTCGGCCGCTTCGGAGCACTCGTGCCGGCTTCAGTCCATTGCCGGGTACTCATTCTGTTCTCTGGGGTGTAATAGTGGATCCAGGTTTCATCAACAGTTACCAATCGACGCCAAAAGTCCGCCCGATTCCGCATCAGCAAGTCCAAACACTCTTTCGAAGTGCTCTCGCGTTCGTGTTTTTGGTCAGGAGTGACCTTGCGCGGCACTCAGCGGCAGGATAACTTTTTCATATGCAGAATCTCGCCCAAAATATGACGTGTGCGCTCAGTACTAATCTTTGTGGTATCTGCTAGCTCGCGCATCTTCACTTTCCGGTCAGCCAACACCATTTCATGTATTTTTTTTGACATTGTCCTCTGTAACCGTATTGGAGGGCCTACCGCTGCGGACTTGATCCGTAGTGGAGTTGCGGCCACCACGAAACTCTCTCGAAACCAACATTTGACGGTATAATCTGACGGAGCATTAGCCCCATAATATTTATCCAACTTTTCTTTTGTTTCCCTCGCCGTTTTGCCTCTCAAAAAATTATGAGAGAACAAAAATCGTTTTTATCCATACTTAACATGATGCCAAACACGTCAACAACAATCAGCTGTCAAAATAAAACTAAAGACAGTATCGCACTGAAATTTGGCATGTCTGACTAAACATGAACCGACTGCAAGGCACCATAACCTTTTTTGCAGTAGCAGCGCATTCTGGCGGTCAAGGAGGTTACTTTTCACCCCACCTAGTATTTGTGAAACCTCCAGTTGAAATAAAACACAATCCGTTTCCCGGAAAATGCATCTGAGGAAAAGTTATTGCTGCTTTTTTTTTTATAAGTGGGCATTTTACCCCAGGGGTGCATTATGGGCTGTTCTCCCTTACATTTACAATTCCCCAACTCTTTTGGGGAGGCTGGGTGGCTTCCTACGAATTTGTGGCGTTCGTCGGAGGTGCCTTTTTGTGTTCAACGTTATAAAGGTCAAACTATCGACCGGTTTTGGTATTCCGACTAAGTGAGAATCGCAAACGAGGTGTGGTTGCGATAAATTTAGCAAGTTTATCTCACTACTTAAGTCTGTTTGACATTCTGTTTGGGTGCAGAAGCTTTTTTTTTTTGTCAGCCAATCATAATGGAATAGGGTACGAACCTATAAATCGCCCTATTTATCACAAAAATGGAAAAAATGACAAAAGATCATATACAGGAATACCCCGAATAGCGTGGCTTTCTCGGCTGTCCTCCATCCAATTGAGCTGACTATTTGTATGTGATTAGGGTCAACCATAAACTTTTCATTGATACAAATATCTTGAATATACATACAATGATGACTAGAATATGTTTGTTGAACTCCTGGAGTAAAGTGTAGATAACATTAACCAGTTGATTTATTGGAATAGTGCTGTAAAGTTAAGTATCATAAATAGTGGCAAAACAAATGTCCACAGGCAAACAAAAGTTTCAAAACACTTTTATGTGGATAGACGAGGGTTACACGCCATACATAGTTTAAGATATGTTAACCAAATTGATGTTTTGGCTTAATGTCACCCCTCCTAAGGTTCAAGGGTCTATTTTTTATTTGATTTCAGTAAAATTAGATATCAATTTCAATCGTCTATTTCCATGACAGTCGTAAAAATATCATTGATGGCGTTTCAGAGAAAATAACGCGACGCAACTGACAACCACAGCATGCTGCTAAAGGCGATAATCTAACACCAAATGCTAATTTTTCTCTGAAATGGTAATATTCACATGCTTAAAAGTGTTTTCCTTTCTAAAATGGGAATGTTGTAAGGTAAGCATGCTTGGCATACACAGTTTTGGTAACGAACTGCTCATTTGCTAATAACTTTGCACAGAATTGACGAAACATACACAGTTCCAAAAAGTAGTGTAAATTTCTGTTCCATATGATGCACATAAATGCAGCGTCACATTATATATCATGTAAAGTTCTGACACATTTCATGCAATGTAGCAAATATTGTATACAAAAGCCCATCTTTGTAAACAACATTGTTTGCAAGTTGCTCGGTTACATGAAATGAAATACAAGTCTACGTGATTGTATGTTTACATCACAATTAAAATTCAGAATTTTTATCTGTGTAGTTCTTTCTGAAGCAGTCGATATAATAGAGTTTAAGCTTGTTATAGATACGTAAAAAAAGTTGATTTTAATTCTAGTAATAAATTGTATTTGATTTTGCGTTGCAAAAATGAAGTGAGAAATGCTAACTGCACATCTCGGACTTCAAGTGTAAAAATGCATTGGTGTTGATTCAAATGTTAAGATTGTCCTATTCTTGCATGTGTATAGTAAACTATGATTCTAATCGATCAATTACTTTAAAGAAAAATAAATTTCAACAACTGAGTGAAAAGTTATTAACAAATAAGCAGTTCATGTTCACAAATGTGCATGCCAAGCATGAAGGTAAGGATCGAAACATTTCCATTTTTTGGCCTAAAGCCACCGCTACTTATACGGTATATAATTGTCAATGTTTGTATGTATCTGGAACTCCTGGACCGTTTTCCACGAAACTTGACATAAGTTTTCCTTACTGTAAGGAGATATTTATTTGGGTCGTTAACCGTTATATGGAAAAACGCAAACTAGACCTCATCAACGCTTTTTAAGTTCCATTTGGGGTCCTAAACAACTAGGTACCATTTTGGGACGATTGGTTGTAGCCCGGCGTTCCGCATTGCGTTTGAAATTTGAACGAAAAAAAATAGAATAGTAAAACCAAATTTAGTGCACTTTTATCTCTATACACCCCAATTTTGCTTAAACCATGCAACGTACCATGTCGAAGTATAGCGTTAGCGTTAGCGTTGTTATGATATACTTCGTAGATTGGATACTAGCGACACTCACGTCTCTTCTGAAAATCTCAGTTAGACTACTTTCAGGAATAATGCTGGGGAGTAAACATTGGTTCCAATCTAAACAAGAGTAACAGAAGCATGACTATCGCTATTCCCGGCCACGCCCATCTTTACCATAACTAGGGATAGGGAAGGAAATGTTGATGTAGTACTTACTTAACGAGAGGCCACCGACTTAGCGACACCCTCATAAGTGCTACGGAGTTGGAGGGTTGGGTAGGGTATTCGGTTAGGATTCACCTCAAGTTGGCGATGCAACCAAAAGTATGTATTGTTTATTTGTTGTTTATTTAATCTCTCGATAGCCGGCTATCGAAAGAACATATTAATTTTGTTTAGTGATAATGAATTTTAAGAGTCATGACGGAGGGCTTGGGATTAAACCCATGATTTTCTGCTCAGTAAGCAAACACGATCCCTCCAGGGTCATCGAGCATCTCAGAACCATAACGCTTCGCGACAATACAGGACTACGTTTTCGCTTGATATGCAAATAGTTTCCGAGGTTAATGTTCAATATCAAATATACAAATGATGGTGGCGATTTATTGTGCTGTGGAAGAGCTTGGGGTTAAATCCATGATTTTCTGCTCAGTAAGCAAAATCGATCCCTCGAGGGTCATCGAGCATCTTATAATCCACAGCGCTTCGTGTCAAAGTACGAATATATGGATTCTATTATTGAATAACTATTATTTGCAAAAATTACATAAAATAAATAAAATAAAGCTTAGCTTAGCTTAGATTGACTGCACATATCAATGGTTGCTACTCCGTGATTGATCAGAATCAGTGAAATTGTACAATGAATCAATTGAATGGGGCTGGGAGTGACCGTCCATTCTCATTGTACAAGTTTCAGTGACTCTATATTTTGTAGATCAATAACGGCGCCGGCCACGTCCTTGCAATCAGGTGGGAGTAGGGAAGGAATATTAGAGTGACCTTTGTTGTTTGTGGGCCGTGTTTACCTCTGCACCCCAACAAAAGACACAGGAAAGGAGATTTTGATAGCAAGTTGGGTTCGTTGGATCAGGATTCACCTTGATAAGTGATGCGACCATGGTTTTAAATGAATCAGTGTTATCATGCATTATACTTGGATTTGCCCGAAGCCAAAACCAAATGGTGTATCATTGGGCCTTATTACAGGTGTCACTACACGGTGATAAGCAAGTGATACTCAGAATAAGAGCCGTGATTACCGTACAAATCAAATGGGAATCACTTCACCGTGACGACAAGTGACAACTTTTCACCGTGATGTGACACCCGTAATAAGCCCCATTATAATATAAATCTGAAGACGTTCCATCATCGAAATGCTGAAAATAAACTTAGAGCATGAGCATGAGCAAAATTGATCGCTCGCGACTGCCAACACCAAAGAGCTGAAAACCAATTCAAACATATCAAATCAACAGACAAAACCAGGGTGAAAGCTGTAAGAGTGAATCATTACAGTATAAATCTAATGATGTTCCGTCATCAAAGAGCTGGAAGAAAACTCAAATAATTTAAATCAATAGATCCAGTCTGAATGAAGGCTGCAAAAGAGAATAATTCACTAGTTTACAGCATTTTTGAACTCGGTAAGGTGATGATCATTTCCAATGCAAAATCCTACGCTGAATTCAATGCCGTGGTCAGAAAAAATTAAAGTAGAGCCATTTTTGAGATATACAAAAATTTTGATTTTTTGAATTTTGGACGAAAGTACGATTACTAAAATGTCAATATCTTTGGAACTAGTGCACCATTTTTAAATTTTTTTTTTATGAAAGTGAAGCTAAATAAATTTGCTATCGTTTTCTAGAATATTATGTCTTAATTTAAAATTTAATTTTGAAGTCATTTAAAAATTTACAGCTTTTTTTTTTATTTTTCCTGCGAATTTTCCATAAAAATCTTGTTTTAATCAACATTTTTAATGGGATAAAAAGATTCAAAAAATCATTCCATAATTTATTCTTAAAGTCCATTCAAAACCGGAGAAAATGAGCCTTTAATGGATGAAATCGGTTGGAAATTGTCGAAGTTATGAGCATTTTTGTAAAACACTTAAAAATGTTGCTGAAACACAACAGCTTTAGAGTTCCTTTTCTAGGTGTCGTTGTAAGCATCCAAATCGCATGTAAAGTTTTCATGGGAGATTCTTTTCTCTACATATCAATTTGATTAAGGCATATCAGGATTTAAAACCGAGTTGATACAAAAGAAATTTATTTAGGTTTTATTAAAAATGATTGAGAATCGAATGACTTTGTCTTCGATGTTTTGAACTTGTTTCTCGAATCAGAAACCAACAATAGTCACCCATCATTGCTTCATCCCAAAACCCTTGGTAACGACGTTCCATCATCTTCATTTGTTGGTGAAAACGTTCGCCGTGCTCATCACTCTCGTCACCAAGATTTTCCGGGAAAAAATCCATGTGAGAATGTAGGAAATGTATCTTCAAAGACATATTCACACCTGTGTTCAGTGAAATAAAAGGATTTGAAATTAATTATATGTAACAAACACAATATTTTTGATTTATACCTATTTCCTCATAATCTGGGCTTCTAAAATTTCCTAAAAAGGTTGTGACAACACGCTGGAACGATTTCCACGCTTCTTACTCATCTGGTGTCAAAACTGTATTGAATGCGGAATCATTGAGCAGTTTTTTGATCTGTGGGCCAACAAATACACCTTCCTATATCTTTGCGTCAGATAAATTTGGAAATACTGATTTCAAGTACTGGAATGCCGGCCCTTCTTTTTGCAACGCTTTGACGAAATTTTTGAATAGCCCAAGTTTTATATGTAGTGGTGGAAGTATTATGCGTTCTTTTACCACAAGAGGATCATTTTTAACGTTGTCTTTACCAATTGTAAAATTATCCCGTTTTGGCCAATCTTTTCGGACGTAGTGTTCCTTACGAGCTCGACTGTCCCATTTACACAAAAACACATTTTTTTTTTTTTTATAATTACTTTATTTGTACAGGCTCAATCGAATAAACTTTACAGAGCCGAGTTATTCTTTGCGTTATACATTATTACTGTCTTAAATTTAAAGTTAAAGGAACTGGACCGAGTACTCGCGGTTGTCTCGAGGTTAGTGGAGATTTACAATTTTTTGGATGGGAAAAGGGAAGAAGGAGGTTTGAAATGTGGTTTACGATACAACTATTTAATTAATCCTAAAGCATGAAATTATTTCTATTCACCTTGAAAACAAACATTGAAAAAAAACCCACACGTACAAAATACAAACTAAACACAAGGTTAATCAAACTTACAATCTAAGGTTAATATCCTTAAAGTAAACATATATGAGTTTCATAAACTCCAGATCGCGTCTAGCCAAAATATCCCGAACTGGAACATTAGGTTGTCTACCTCGAGCCCGAAGGGAATCATAAAAATGTGATCTGACTCCACGATACTCCGCACAAGACCAAAGGATGTGATCAGCGTCCTGGTAACCTTGTCCACATTCACAGAGATTGCTGTCTCCCAACCCCACACGGAACAAGTGAGCGTTTAGACAATAGTGATTGGACATGAGACGAGACATCACGCGTATGAAGTCTCGACTCAAGTCCAACCCTTTGAACCATGCAAACTTCGACACCTTAGGGATAATTGAATGTAGCCATCGTCCCAAGCTCCCTTCACTCCATTGATGTTGCCAGCTAACGAGCGACTGCTGACGATAAATAGAGAAAAATTCACTATAGGCGATTTGTCGATCATAAATGTCGCCTTCCATAGCGCCCACCTTCGCAAGTGAATCCGCCTTCTCATTGCCCAAAATTGAGCAATGCGAAGGGACCCACGCGAAGGTGATGATGAAAGAGCGTACGGATAAAGTACTAAGCAGTTCTCGTATTTTCAAGAGAAAATACGAGAAGTGCTTTACCGGCCTAATGGAACGGATAGCCTCGACAGAACTGAGACTATCCGTAAAAATAAAGTAGTGGTCTGGAAGAAGTGAAGCAATAGTTTCCAAAGTGTAGTGAATTGCTGCCAGTTCAGCCACATACACAGAACAAGGAGCTTCAAGTTTTCGAGAGGCGCTATGAAATTCATTAAATACACCAAAACCAGCGGACTCCTCTTTTAGAGATCCATCTGTGAAAAACGTTCTTGCAGAATCAACATGGCCAAACTTTGCAGCGTATAATGACGGAGCAATCATAGAACGATGATGAGGAGCCTCAGAGATAACTCTGAAAAACGGAAGGATAGAGGCAACATGCCCGCCAGCACTTCGAGACTCATAGTATGAGTCGAGTGCATGCATCCTAACGCGATACGAAGACAACGATACTGGATCCGTTCCAGCTTGATGATGTGCGTTTTAGCTGCCGACTGGAAGCAAAAACTACCGTACTCTAAAACCGATAAAATCGTTGTCCGGTACAACGTCAGAAGATCTTGTGGATGGGCTCCCCACCACGTTCCGGTAATTGATCGAAGGAAATTGATCCTTAGTTGGCATTTTCGTCTCAGATACTCAATGTGGGATCTCCAGGTGCATTTGGAATC